CAAACATTTTTTTTCCTTTCTTTCTTTCTTTCCTCTTTTTTTCCTTCACACACATTTTCTTTCTTTCTTTCTTTCTTTCTTTCTTTCTTTCTTTCTTTCTTTCCTACTTCTTTTTCTTATTTTTTTTCTCTCACCTAACAGTCGGCCGGCCAGGTAGACCCGCAGGCATGATAAATATTTGCTCCAGCTTCATAATTTGGTCGTTGAGGGAACGAAGCGTCACGGGGCTGCAACGACAAGTTATTAGAGGGTGTGATTGTGTGTGGGGAAACGAGGCTTGTTTGTTTGTTTGTGTGTGTTTGCTCGTTTGTTTGTGTGTGTGTGTTCGTTTGTTTGTTTGTGTGTGTGTGTGTTCGTTCGCTTGTGTGTGTGTGTGTGTGTATTTGTTCGTTCGTTCGTTTGTTTGTGTGTGTTCGTTTGTTTGTTTGTGTGTGTGTTCGTTTGTTTGTTTGTTTTTGTGTGTGTTCGTTTGTTTGTTTGTTTGTTTGTGTGTGTGCGTTTGTTTGTTTGTTTGTTTGTGTGTGTTCGTTTGTTTGTGTGTGTGTGTGTGTGTTCGTTTGTTTGTTTGTTTTTGTGTGTGTTCGTTCGTTTGTTTGTGTGTGTTCGTTTGTTTGTGTGTGTGTGTTCGTTCGTTTGTTTGTTTGTTTGTGTGTGTGTGTTCGTTCGTTTGTTTGTGTGTGTGTGTGTGTGTGTGTGTGTGTGTGTGTGTGTGTGTGTGTGTGTGTGTGTGTGTGTGTGTGTGTGTGTGTGTGTGTGTGTGTGTGTGTGTGTGTGTGTGTGTGTGCGTGCGTGCTTGGAACTGTGTCTGTATCCGTGTATATGTCAATGTGTATGTGTAAATTTGAACTCACAAGTGTAATGAACACAAAAAAAATCTATTATCCACATTACACATAAATAAATAAATAAATAAATAAATAAATAAATAAATAAATAAATAAACAAATAAATAAATAAACAAATAAACAAACAAACAAACAAATAGATAAATAAACAAACAAATGAATAAATAAATATACTATCTTAAAAAAAACAGACCAATACTTACTCTAAATCATCTTTCATCTGGTTTATCTTGGCGACAAAACCGGAAGTTGTCATAGTGAAGTTATCAATCGCTTCCCCAAGGAGAGCTGAAAGAAAAGGAAAATTATTATTATCGTTATCGTTATCGTTATAATTGTTATCATTATTTTTATCATCATTATCATAATTATTGTTACTATTGTCATAATTATTAATGTTATTACTATCATTATCATCATCATTGTCATCATCATTATCATCATCATTATTATCATCATTATCATCTTCTTTATCCTCTTCTTTATCATCATCTTTATCATCATCATTATCATCATCATTATTATCATCATTATCATCTTCTTTATCCTCTTCTTTATCATCATCTTTATCATCATCATTATCATCATCATTATTATCATCATTGTTATTTTTATTATTATCATCATAATTAATATTTTTTATTGTAGTAGTTGTTGTTGTTATTGCTATTATTAACATAATTATCAATATTATTACTGTCATTATTATCATTACTATTATTATCATTATTATTATTACTATCATTATTAATATTATCATTATCATTATCATTATATCATTATATTATATCATTATAAAATACGCATTTTCTTTTATTTGTTCCTTGCCTCTACACCCACCCCCACCCCCTTTTAATCCTTAACCAGATTACGAAAAACATCTTACACTAAACATTTTAAAAAATAAAAATAAAAAGATAAAAAAAACAAGACCCCAAAACACACACACAAAAAAGAAAAAAAAATCAAAATAAAAAACCAACTCACAGAATTTATCATAAATGTCCATCAGTTTCTCTCCGTTGCCGTTCTCCTTAACTTTCTCGAACGCGTCATGAATGGCCTTCGGAAGCTTCTCGAGACTGTAGGGCACGAGAGCCGAGTCAGCGAAGTAGCGTAGAGTGAGGGAAGCGATCCTACTACAGCCCTGGTGGATCCTGAAACCCGGGTCGATGTTGTGGTCGATGTTGTAGAAGGTGTCGTAGCCGGTGTGGTAGGCAGGGTAGATGGAGATGTCGTATTTGTTCTGCGGAGGAGAGGGAGAGAGGGAGGAGAGGGGAGAGAGGGTGGGGGAGGGGATGGGAGGGGAGGGAGGGAGGGGAGGGGGGTGGAATAAGATTAGGAATAAGTCGCAACATATATATATATATACATGTGTGTATGTATGTGTGTGTGTGTGTATATACATTCACACACACACACACACACACACACACACACACACACACAAACAAACAAACAAACACAAACACACACATACATATACAATGTATCCATACATGATTTAAATGCATATAAGATCCAATACAGACTGAATTGCCACAAAGGCCTTACCTTGTCTCTCCTGAACCAGATATCAAGGCAAGGAATTCCACAGTAGAAGGAGAAGTGGGCGTAGTCGCTGCCGGAGCCGAGGGTTTTCATCCTGTAAATGGTTTTTCGTTAAAGCATTAGGATATGAATGGTTATTATATACGTTGTTTTAATGTTATTGTTGTCAATCACCACCATCATCAACATATCTCTCACAATCACTTCCTACCATAACCACCATCATCCTCATCCTTATTACCACAATCACCACAATTTCACAATCAACACATCTTTCACATTCACTTCCTACCACAACCACTACCATCCTTACTAACCACAATGACCACCACTTCACAATCTTTCACAATCACTTCCTACCACAACTACCATCATCATCCTTACTAACCACAATCACCACCACTTCACAATCTTTCACAATCACTTCCTACCACAACTACTGTCACCATCACCATCACCATCCTGGCTACCACAATCACCACTTCACAATCAACACATCTTTCACAACCACCATCACCACCATCAACCTTACTACCACAATCAACACATCATTCGCAACCACAACTACCATCACCATCACCATCCTTGCTACCACAATCACCACCACTTCACAATCAGCACACCTTCCACAACCACTTCCTACCACTCTGTAGAAGGCCAGACAACCATACATACTCTGGAGATGAATGGTTCCTCAATTTTTCGTATTCTTCCCACTCTGCATAAACCGTTTCTCCGTTTCTCACTCCTGGTACCTGTTTTGTTGAGAGTTTAGGTGTTAATATTTTTGAGAGTTTAGGTGTTAATGTTTTGAGAGTTTGTGTGTTAATGTTTTGAGAGTTTAGGTGTTAATGTTTTGAGAGTTTAGGTGTTAATGTTTTGAGAGTTTAGGTGTTAATGTTATGAGAGTTTAGGTGTTAATGTTTTGAGAGTTTGTGTGTTAATGTTTTGAGAGTTTGTGTGTTAATGTTTTGAGAGTTTGTGTGTTAATATTTTGAGAGTTTGTGTGTTAATGTTTTGAGAGTTTGTGTGTTAATGTTTTTGAGAGTTTGTGTGTTAATGTTTTGAGAGTTTGTGTGTTAATGTTTTGAGAGTTTGTGTGTTAATGTTTTGAGAGTTTGTGTGTTAATGTTTTGAGAGTTTGTGTGTTAATGTTTTGAGAGTTTAGGTGTTAATGTTTTGAGAGTTTGTGTGTTAATGTTTTGAGAGTTTGTGTGTTAATATTTTGAAAGTTTGTGTGTTAATGTTTTGAGAGTTTGTGTGTTAATGTTTTGAGAGTTTGTGTGTTAATGTTTTGAGAGTTTGTGTGTTAATGTTTTGAGAGTGTGTGTGTTAATGTTATGAGAGTTTGTGTGTTAATGTTTTGAGAGTTTAGGTGTTAATGTTTTGAGAGTTTGTGTGTTAATGTTTTGAGAGTGTGTGTGTTAATGTTTTGAGAGTTTGTGTGTTAATATTTTGAGAGTTTAGGTGTTAATGTTTTGAGAGTGTGTGTGTTAATGTTTTGAGAGTTTGTGTGTTAATATTTTGAGAGTTTAGGTGTTAATGTTTTGAGAGTTTGTGTGTTAATGTTTTGAGAGTTTGTGTGTTAATGTTTTGAGAGTTTGTGTGTTAATGTTTTGAGAGTTTGTGTGTTAATGTTTTGAGAGTTTGTGTGTTAATGTTTTGAGAGTTTGTGTGTTAATGTTTTGAGAGTTTGTGTGTTAATGTTTTGAGAGTTTGTGTGTTAATGTTTTGAGAGTTTGTGTGTTGATGTTTTGAGAGTTTAGGAGAGTTTGTGTGCTAACATTTTGAGAGTTTATGAGAGTTTGTGTGCTAATATTTTGAGAGTTTACGAGAGTTTGTGTGCCAATATTTTGAGAGTTTATGAGAGTTTGTGTGCTAATATTTTGAGAGTTTACGAGAGTTTGTGTGCTAATATTTTGAGAGTTTACGAGAGTTTGTGTGTTAATATTTTGAGAGTTTACGAGAGTTTGTGTGCTAATATTTTGAGAGTTTACGAGCGTTTGTGTGCAAATATTTTGAGAGTTTAGGAGAGTTTGTGTGCTAATATTTTGAGAGTTTAGGAGAGTTTGTGTGCTAATATTTTGAGAGTTTACAAGAGTTTGTGTGCTAATATTTTGAGAGTTTACAAGAGTTTGTGTGCTAATATTTTGAGAGTTTACGAGAGTTTGTGTGCTAATATTTTGAGAGTTTACGAGAGTTTGTGTGTTAATATTTTGAGAGCATGTGTGTTAGTTTTTTGAGAGTTTATGTGTCAAATTATCTAGTTTCTATACTGAAATGTTGATAATTTATACACTGAAGTTTCTTTGTTAATATTTTGAATGCTTGAGTGTTTATATGTAATTTTTTTGAGAGTTCATATTAAAATTTTGAAAATTTAAATATTAATAATTTAAGAGTTTATACGTTTATGTGTCAATTTTCATTGCGTATTTTCCTATTTCTATTGGTTTTATTTAGATTTATAACAGTTTCGCGTATTTGTATGATGATTATTGATAAAACAAAACAACTAAATAATAATAAAACAAAAGCAAAACAAAAAATGATAAAAAAAAAAACAAAAGCAAAACAAAAAATGAAAAAAAAGCAAAACAAAAA